CCTACATATTGTTAATTACAGAAAGATGTATCACCATTTGTGTTACTTAGAACCCCATAATACTATGTACCATCCACGTGCACATCTAAGTACTGGTTTTATAAACACTCAGTGCACTAAGTCATCGCCTCTGCAGACACTGGGAGAAGAGGACTGAAGAAGGGAAAAGAGACTTCACCTGTTCCTGAAATGATTCACTTTTATAAAATTTTAATCACAAAACAAGATGCCTAATTACCAAGTAGTAGTTACACAGGTGTTACTGTTTTTCTGTATTATTTATTCAAGAAGATTTAAAAGCATAAAATAAAATATAGTAAAATTTTGGAAAATGAGGTGAAAGAGGCACAGAACCAGAAAAGTAGGTATTATATAGTAGAAACATCATTATTTAAAATAGGGGTGAGCAAACTACAACCTGCAGGCCAAATGTGGCCTGTTGCTTGTTTTTGTAAATAAAGTTTTATTGGAACCCAGCCATGCCCATTTGCTTACAGGTCAGGATCTCTCACCTTCAGCACTACTGACATTCTGGACCAGATAATCCTGTTGTGGGGGCTGCACTATAAACTGGAGGATGTTTAGCAGCATCCCTGACCTTAACCCACCAGGTGCCAGCAGCACCCCCTTTCACAGTGACAACTAAAAATGTCTCCTGGGGTTGGGGGCAGGGAAGGCAAAATTAGCCCTGGTAGAACGGCTGGTTTATGTATTCTATGTTTTCACATACAAAGGCAGAGTAGAGACTATGATCACAAAGCCTAAAATATTTACTATCTGGCCCTTCACAGAAAAAGTTCGTTGACTTCTTTTGCCATAAAAAGGGAAAAGATACATGTTAGACGAAGCAAACAAACCACAAAGTATATGACAAAGCACCTCCTTAAAGTTTCTACAAATTACCTCAAAAACTACTCCAATTAAAAAAAAGGAACAGGGCCGGCTCCGTGGCTCAGCGGTTAAGTGCGCGCACTCTGATGCTGGCCGCCCGGGTTCGGATCCCGGGAGCGCCCCGAGGCACCACTTCTCCGTCCAACGTGAGGCCGAGTCCCACGTACAGCAACTAGAAGGATGTGACCCTATGACATACAACTATCTACTGGGGCTTTGGGGGGAAAAAACTGAATAAATAAAATCTTTAAAAAAAAAAAAAAGGGAACAGATAAAAAGAAGCAATTCGCAGAAATAAAATTCAAATGACTCTTAGGCATGGAAGATGCTCAACCTCACTGACAGTCAAGAAAATGCAGACTGAAGGCACATTTTTTTGTTCACCCAATTTAACAAGGTTCAGTCCTGGTTGAAGTTGTCGGGAATGGACACACGTTCCTGTGGAGGTTAACACGCATTTCACAGTAAGGCATTAACTTCTACATGGAAATAACTACGTGGCAAGGTAAGGCATCCAACAGGTAGGAATCCACCCATGCTACAGAAATAAACACAACATGCAACAATACATTTGTAGTAAAATTATTTTTGTACAATTATTTGTAAAAGTCTAAAGCTAAATAGTTACATCTATAGGTACTGACTGGAAGGATGTCGGTGGTATGTCACAAAGTGAGGAGGGCACACGTCAACGCGTAAGACAATCCCATCTAAACTACCCCCTGCCGCCTGACACACACACATCACCAGAACAAACCTCCTAGATGTATGTTTCCTGAGTATGGAGAAACGCATGGAAGGCTTCCAATGTTGGCACTTCAGAGAATAAGTGTGTATATATATATTTTTTCTTTCTAAACTTTTGCAGTATACCCCTGGTTTTTGGTAAAACATGTTATATAAATTCGGAATAGAACTTTCAAATCTTGAAAAGAAAAATATGTATACATGGGCAAAACATGAAAGAGAACCATCTCAACATTGATTATAACTCAAAAAAGGTTAGAAATTGTAATGAAACCAGTACTGTGGTCATGCCTAGTTTTGCCTGGCTTTACTCATTCTTCAATTCTCCTAAAGGGCACAACATCCCTTCTTAGAATATGTACAACTTACAAGAACAGACTTATGAAATATACCAGTGCAGATAATATTTAATCACTTCCCCCTTTTAAAAAATGCTCGAATTTGTTATAAATTGTCCTCCAATGGGCTGAGGACTGATTTATCACATTAATACATTTACATAAAACATTTAAAATATGTATTATTTTTATAAAGCATGGGGTGAAGTGGAATCCACTGGATGATGATGATTGCAAATGTAACGTCCACAGACCATGAGGTAGGATTACGTGGAGAGCTGCAGGGACTTCGCAGCAGGTGAAGGTGCATACGCTGTAATAGTTTCCTGTTTACTACTTTCAGTGGGCCATAGTTATTTTAGTGTCTAGTTCTCAATGTGTAAACACTACATTTATATATTACATTCTTAAAGAATTGGACAGGTTAGGTCATGATTTTATTCTAGATAAAAAAACCCTATTTTCTTCTTTTAATAAGTTGCTAGATTTGACTTGCTATTTCAATTGGAATATTCATACACCATGAGTACAAAGCTGATTTGATTTGGATGTTGTCTTTTTCCAAATTTGGCAAAAGGGTATCAGGGTTATACTGGCCTCACAGCTGTGACTCTGTATCTTGAAGACTTGGAAGATTTTATCTGTAAGATACTCCACTTCTAGAGGAGTTACATGGTGTAGCTCTTTAATCAGTTTTTTTCTGGGTTCCTACTTTATTCAGGAAAATAATACTTTTTCAGGATTTCAGAAATACTGTAAAAAGCTGAATATAAACATACACTATAAAATGCTGAATGTAAAGGAACACTTCCTACATCTTACTAAACAAAGTTGTATATATATAAACACAAAAATATGTTTAGGACAATATTTAAGAAAACGCTTTTCCACAATTTCAGATATACTATAAAAAAGCTGATTATAAACATTTTCTCATCTTACTAAAGCTGAATAAATGTGTGTAGATATATACAAAAATTTTTTCCCCAGAACTCAGATATATTATAAAAAGTTGAGTATCAACCTGTACCAGATGTGCACGGAGTTTCTCATTTCATACAAACCCAGGGACAGGGCAGGTCTGAACTGTTTCATCAGCTCAGCAACACCAAGGACACAGGTGACTCGTCTCTCCCATGCCAAGCTCAGCCCCTCCGCCCTGGCTGCAGAATGGCCACGATGCCAGGTACCACACAGACAGCCAGACACACATCCTGTATATGCGTAGACTGTTTCCTCCTATTTTGTTAGGAAAGAACATTGAACTGAGGCCCATGTGCAGCCGTCTGCATGGATCTTCTGTGGCCAGGCCCGTGATACACACGCCCAGATGCAAAGTGAGCTAGGAGAGCCGGCATCTGGCACGTGGGCAGCAGGCGATCCCCGCAAACGGAGAATGGTTAACACTGATGGATGGCAACCCAGTGTCTGCCACAACACTGCCTTCTTTCTTTAAATCGCCTCCATTTTTGTAGTTACATATCCTTTCTCATTCACGTGCTTGAGATTTTTCTTTTATGGTGTAATCTTTTTCATTTCTTTCAAGGTTTTTTTCTTTTTTTGCTCTGCACTTATTTTTTTAGAGCTTTTCTACATCCTAGAGTTGAGTGCTTATTCATTCTCTCATTCCTCTGATCAACAGATGTTTACCGGGAACCTACTAGAAACAGGCAGTGCACCAAGTACTGTGGAGTTAGAATGAATCCTCGCCTTTGGCTGTCCCCGTTTTCTACACATATTGAAGGGAGTTAATCTTCCTCAGAGTGCAGCTTTGTTGCATCCTCCATATTTCAACATGTAGTTGTCTGTCATTCATTCCTAATGGTAATTTGCCTTGATTTCCTTTTTAATGTAAAAATTATTTAAACAGGTATCTTTTAAACGTCCTCGTGGAGGAATAGATTTTGGCTAAGGCTTTGTTATTTTCTAATTCTCCAGAACAGAGTCAGAGATTGTGGCATATGTCCCTTGTTTTGGGGAAGGTTTTAATAAATCATCTAAATCTTCCCTCGGAACTCACAGCAACCCACCTTTATTCTACTGGGGTTCTTTACATTATGAATTCCCTGATGGGGAAAAGGGGCAACCTACGAATGAAAGCTTCAGTTTTTAATTTTTCTCCAGAAGGAATTACAGAACACTCAATAAAGAAAGAGATGATGTAAGGTGTCCTACAGTCACTGAACACATAGGGCCTTCTTCTCATATGATCTCTAATAAACACAATTATGAAAATAAACAAAAGTACAATAAAAGCAGCTCTTACTTAACACACTTTCAATATGAGCCAGACACTATTCTAAGGGATATAAGGTAAATATTTAATCTTCACAATGCTACTAAGAAATATGGTCCTAATATTACTAATTTATAATGAGGAAACTTAGACATGGTTAAGTAATTTGCCCTATAAGAAATGAGTTATAATGGTGAAGGCAGGTAAAGAAGAGACATTGGTTAAATCTTTTCCCACTCTGATTCAATCTAGGTTAATTTAGAGAATGAGCTTGCAAACATTTAACGAGATTTGAGCAGGATGGAAGAATGTGCTGCGTTTTTAACATTAATGAAGCCTTCCTCAAGTATGAGTTATCATATGAATAACTTGTTAGCTAAAACAAATTGTTGTCCCACATATATGACATTTATACTATGAATCCTGATTTCCCATAAGGGCTAATAACCCTGATGTTGAGGAAAGTTTGAATGATTAATGTCTCTATCACATTCACTGCTTCCTAAGACTTCCCACTTTCCTTATATTCATGGAGCTTTTCACCAATTGAACTCTGATGTTTAATAAATTCTGAAACACAAATAAACCCCTCCCAATTCCTAACATTTACAAGGCTTCTCATCAGTAACAAATGTCAAATAAACTCTGTCCCTTAAATAAAGGCCTTACCTCCACAGTGTGAACTCTGATATAAGTAAGCTCTTATCCTCAAATGCTTTCCCATGTTCCTTATGATCACAGGGGTTTTTGTTTGTTTTACTAGTATGAATTTTCAGATGTCAAGTGTTTTCACATGTCTTCACTCACTCCTCTGTCTCGTATGAATTCTCTGATGTTGACTAAGGTGTGAGCCACGAAAAAAGGCCTTCCCACACTCCTTACATTCATAGGGTTTCTCACCAGTATGAATCTTCTGGTGTCGATTAAGTTCTGAGCCACGACTAAAGGCCTTCCCGCATTCCTTACACTCATAGGGTTTCTCACCACTGTGACTTCTCTCATGATGAGTAAGTTGTGACTTTCGAATAAAAGCCTTCCCACACTCCTTACATTTATGGGGTCTCTCACCAGTGTGGACTTTTTGATGTCGAATAAGTTCTGTGCTACAAGTGAAGGCCATTTCACATTCCCTACACTTATAGGGTTTCTCACCAGTGTGAGCTCTCTGATGTCGAGTCAGTTCTGAGCCACGACGAAAGGACTTCCCACATTGCTTACATTTATACGGTTTCTCATCAGTATGAACAATCTGATGTCGAATAAGTTGTGAATCAGAGATAAAACCTTTCCCACATTCCTTACATTTATGAGGTTTCTCACCAGTATGAATTCTTTGATGCAGACTCAGTCGTGAGGCACAACTATACACCTTCCCACATTCCTTACATTCACAGCGCCTTTCACCAGTGTGGATTATCTGATGAAGACTAAGCTGTGTATCATAACGAAAAGCTTTCCCACATTCCTTACATTCATGGGGTTTCTCACCAGTGTGGATTCTCTGATGTCGAAAAAGGTGTGAGGGACGGGTAAAGGCCTTCCCACATTCCTTACATTCATAGTATTTCTCATCAGTATGAATTCTCTGATGTAAATTAAGTTGTGAGGTCGACGGAAAGGCGTTCCCACACTCCTTACATTTATAGGGTTTCTCGCCTATATGATTCTTTTGATGTTTACTAAGTTGTGAGCTAGAATGAAAGGCTTTGCCACATTCCTTACATTTATGAGGTTTCTCACCAGTATTAATGCTCTGAGGTTTAGTAATTTCAGAGTCATGAATCAAGGCACGTTTCTTATTTTCATTACTTTTTCTGCTTTCGTGAATTCTCTGATGCTTAATTAAGTCTGACCTACTATTAAAGGCTTTCCCACATTCTCCACATTTAGAGTCTTTTTCCTTATTGTGACTTCCTTCACGTTGAATACGGTGTGAGTGGTACCTGAAAGCTTCCTTACATTCCTTGTGTTCACAGGACTGTGCTCCAGCATGCACCGTCTGAGGTCCTCTATCAACTGGGCACTGAGTGGGCATGGGCCTTTCTTCAGAGGTTATTACAGCTTGTCTGAAATGTCCCTCCTGCTGTCTCTCCAGGGGGCACTTGACTTCTCTGTTATTTCTGACCCTAGTGCACTCAAGGTTAGAGTTTGTAAGTCTTTTTGTTATTTCTGGTTGTAATGATTTAACTTCATAACTGTCCTCTTTTGGAGATAAATTCTTGGTTTCTCTTCTGGACTCCCAATCTGTAAGATAACAAGAAAGAAAATAGGAGAGATTTTCATGTTGCAGAAGGAAAGTTCTAAGGTAGAAATGACAAACTAAAAACAGTGGATAATTTAAATAGCTCGTAACACTGCATTGCAATTTGTAAAAAAAAAAAAAAGGGGGGGAGGGGAGGATGAGAATAGAGAAAATGAGGGGAGCTCGTGAAGGAAGTGGTTCTTCACCTCCAGAGAGAATTGGAATCAGCTGGGGGAACTTGTTATAAGTACGCTGTCCAGGAACCACCTAAGACCAAATAAATGAGAATCTAAAGGAGTAGGACATTGCATCTAACAGCAAGTCCTCTCATGTCTAGCCTCAAACCAGTGCTCGCTTCGGCAGCACATATACTAAAATTCTAGCCTCAAACCATATCCAGATTTTGACTACTTCTTTTTTTTTTTTTTAAGATTTTATTTATTTATTTTTCCCCCCCACAAAGCCCCAGTAGATAGGTGTATGTCATAGCTGCACATCCTTCCAGTTGCTGTATGTGGGACACGGCCTCAGCATGGCCGGAGAAGCGGTGCGTCAGTGCGTGCCCGGGATCCGAACCCGGGCCACCAGCAGCGGAGCGTGTGCACTTAACCGCTAAGCCACAGGGCCGGCCCTGGATTTTGACTACTTCTCTATCAGTATCTCTACCACCTTGTCCCAAGCCATGTCTCACCAAGATTAACACAACACTATCCTAACGGGTTTCCCTACTTCCACAGTTGCCCTCTTAATATCCCATACCCAACACAGTATGTTAAAATAAGTTGGATCACGCCATTCACCTCCTCAAAATCCACCACTGGATTTCCCTTTCATGCAGAGTAAAGTCAAGTCCTTATGTGGTCTACTAGGCCTTCCTGAACTTGTCCTGCAACACCCCTTTCTGACCTCCTTGCCCATCTCCTCCCCTTAGCTGACTCTGCTCCAGCTCCCTGACCAACCGGATGTTCTTCACACCTGCCAAGCACACCCCTCCTTCAGAATCTCTGCTGCCAATATCTTCCCCAAGATATCAATATAGCTCATTCAATTACTTCATTCTGACCTGTATTCAAATGCCAACTTATGAGACCACTCTTTACAAAATAGGACCCTCATCACTCTACTTACACTATTTTTTGCAGTGTACTTATGATCACATGTCATTTTATCTATTTCCAACATTATTATAAAAACTTTCAAACATACAGAAAAATGAAAAGAATTGGACAGTGAACCCCCATATTCCCACTACCTAGATTCTACAGTAACTATTTGGCTCTACTGGCCTTATCACATGTCTATCTACCCTTCTATGCATCTGTCCATCTTGCAGACATCAGTATACTTCACCTCTTAACAGATTAGATTATACTCTAACCTGTTTACTTCTGTATTGTCTGGCCTCTCTTCACTGTACACGCACAGAGTAAACACTTAATAACTATTTGTTTGATGAATGAATGGCCACTGGAATTTTTATTAATCTCCCTCAGTGATTCTGAGGCAACTCAAAGGGTGGGACTCACTGTTTAAATACAGTGCCTTCTGGGCCGGCCCCGTGGCTTAGCGGTTAACTGCACGCGCTCCGCTGCTGGCGGCCCGGGTTCGGATCCCGGGCGCGCACCCACGCACCGCTTCTCCGGCCACGCTGAGGCTGCGTCCCACATACAGCAACTAGAAGGATGTGCAACTGTGACATACAACTATCTGCTGGGGCTTTGGGGGAAAAAATAAATAAATTAAATTAAATACAGTGCCTTCTCCCTGCACTTACAATAAAATACAAAATTTCTTCCCAATCCTGCAAAACTCTGCACTATCAGGACCCTGCTTCCCTATTCCCTTCATTTTGAGGTGCCTTCACTCACCATGAGCCCACTAGACTGGCCTCCATTTGACTCCAAGATCACCCCAATTACCTTCTCATCCTAGCCCCTTTCAGGAAATGCTTCATCTCCCACGAATGCGCTGTTCCAGGATCTCTGCATGGCCACCTTCGCTCATTCTAAATGTCTTAATTTTCTGTCAAGTACCCTGTTCTCTGCCCTCATAATCTTTTCCTGAATTCTGGAATTACATATTTATTCACCAGTTTATCTACTGGTAAAATTTCTCCCAATGTGGCCTAGAACTAGCATAATACTTATTTTACTCACTATGATATAACCAATTCCCAGCACATAGTTTAATTAACGTTAAATAAACTAATCACTAGATTAAGGGTATTCAGGCGGAAATAAAGGACAACATGCCAAAGATAATGAAAGAAGGAGAGTGACTTGAGAATCAGAGTACTTTCTCCATGCTTTTAATTATTTAACAGGTGATGGAGGTGTCTTCCTGCCTCTGATCCCTCCCAGCTTCAATATGCTCTCCCTACATCACTTCCATGTACATGGCAGTAATGCACAAGCAAGCCAGCACCATTAGCGTAAATCTGTACATGTACCTACACAGGTCCCCTAGAATATTGACAGCTTTACACAACAATAAAAATCTTATGTAATTCTGAGAAAATTCTAATGGAAAATGAAGATACTATGGCAACCATTTATGAGAGGTTGTATGGTGTTGCGACAAAGAATACAACTCTAGAGCCAGAATGCTCGGGTGTGAATCCTAGTCTCCAGATTTGCTAGCTGGATGACACTGGACAGTTATTTAACTACTTAGAAATCAAGAAGGCTGGTCTGAGACAAGAGAGTTGCTTGTTCTCCAGATGCTCAACGTGAGGTGTCAGAGCTTTACGCAGGCACCTAAATTAAAGAGCAGCAACAAGAAAAACAAAAGACAAATCCCAGAAACAACCACCACCATCTCAGTGAGAGAGAAATAAGATACCAGACTTGGGTGGGCCAAATGGGTGAAGGGGGTCAATTGCATAGGATGGATGGTAACTAGACTTTTGGCGATCACTTTGTAGTGTACACAGATGTCAAATTATAATATACACCTGAAACTTATATAATGTTATATACCAATTTTAGCTCAATTAAGGAAAAAAAGATACCAGACTTGTGACAATATATTATCTAAAATGTCCACTTTTCGACAAAAAATTATGAGACGTACAAAGAAACAGGAAAGATGTCACATACACAGAAAAAAAAAAGCAGCCAAAAGACAACGTAACCGAGGGGGCCCAGTTAATGGACTTAATAGACAAGACTTTAAATAAGCTACTATAAATATAAATTTAGTTCAAAGAACTAAAGGAAGTCATATCTAGACAATTAAAGGAAAGTATAAGAATGATGTCTCACTAAATAAAGAATATCAACAAACAGATAGAAATTATAAAATACAGGGCCAGCCCTGGTGGCCTGGTGGTTAAGTTCGGTGCACTCCGCTTTGGTGGCCTGGCTTCGGTTCCCAAGTATGGACCTACACCACCTGTCCATTAGTGGCCATGCTGTGGTGGCAGCTCACATACAGAAAGAGGAGGATTGGCAACAGATGTTAGCTCAGGGCGAATCTCCTCAACAACAACAAACAACAACAACCAAACAGAAATTTGAGTTGAAAAGTACAGTAACTAAAATGAAAAATTCACCAGCAGAGCTCAGCAACAGATTTGAGCTTGCAGAAGAAAGGATCAGCAAACACGAAGACAGGTAAATAGAGAGCCTATTTCAGTGTGTGGTACAGAAATAAAAAGGAATAAAAAATAAAAATAAACAGAGCCTTAGAGACCTGAGGGATACCATAAAGCGTACATACCAAATATATGCATAAAGGGAGTCTCTGAATGGGAACAAGAAAGGAGTAGAAAAACATGTGAAGAAACAATGTCCACCAACTCCCCATATCTGATGAAAAACATTACATGTACACATCTAAGAAGCTCAATGAACTCCAAGTTGAATAAACTTGCTATAACCTTGGAATAAATTTGATCCAAACCTAGACACATCACAGGCAACTCATAAAAGTCAAAGATAAAATCTTAAAGCATCGAGAGAGAAGCAATTCATTACATATAAGGGATCCTCAATAAGACCAGCAGCTGAAACCATGGAGACTAGAAGACAGTAGAATGACATAGTTGGTGCTGGGAAAAAAGGGCTGTCAATCAAGAATTCTATATCAAAACTATCTTTCATAAATAAAAGAAAAATTAAGAGGGGCCGGCCCTGTAGGTTAGCGGTTAAGTGCGCGCGCTCCACTACCGGTGGCCCGGGGTTCGGATCCGGGCGCGCACCGATGCACCGCTTGTCTGGCGACGCTGAGGCAGTGTCCCACATACAGCAACTAGAAGGATGTGCAACCATGACACACAACTAGCTACTGGGGCTTTGGGGAGAAAAAGGGAAAAAGAAATAAAGGAAGATTTGCAATAGATGTTAGCTGAGGGCCAGTCTTCCTCAGCAAAAAGAGGAGGATTGGCATGGATGTTAGCTCAGGGCTAATCTTCCTCACCAAAAAAAAAAGAAAAAAGAAAGAAAGAAAAATTAAGATATTTCCAGTTTATTTTTAAAACAAAGGGAATTTATCACTAGCAGATCTCCCCTACAAGAAATACTAAAGGGAGTTGTTTAGGCTGAAATGAAAGGACAAAAGATAACTTGAATTCACACAAAGAAATAAAAACCACCAGTAAAGGTAACTACATAGGTATATATAAGACGGTACAAAAGTATTTGCTTCTTCTATCTGACTTAAAAGACAACTACATAAAGCAATAATTATACAAATGTGTTGATGGTGTATTAGTTTCCTGTTTCTGATATAACAAATCACCACAAATGTAGTGGCTTAAAACATCTGAGATTTATTACCTTACATGTAGTGCTGGAAGAAGGTCAGAAGTCTGACAGGTCTCAACAGGCCAAAATGAATGTGTTGGTGGCCAGGCTGTGCTCCTTTCTAGAGGCTCTAGGGAAGAATCTGTTTCCTTGCTTTTTCCAACTCCTAGAGACTGCCCACATTCCTTAGCTCATCACGGTCCCCTTCCTCCATCTTCAAAAACAGCATACTGCATCTCTCTCTGCATCTCTTCTGTTGTCACACCTCTGACTTTCAAGAACCCTTGTGATTACATTGAGCCCATGTGAATAATCTAGGATAATCTCCCTAATTTAAGGCCAGCTGATTTGCAACCTTAATTCGTCTTTCCATGTAAGGACAACATATTCACAGGTTCCAGGGATTAAGATGTGGACATTTTTGAGGGAGTCATTATCCTGTCTACCAATATTGGCTTATAATGTACTAGGGTGTGATCTGCATGACAATAATATAAAGAAGGCAGGAGGGAACAGGGGTATACTGTGGCACAGTTTTTTAATAAGATTAAAGTTTAGTTAGTATTAATCTAAACTAAATTGTTTTAAGATGCTAATTGAAATTTCCAGGGCAACTGCTGAGAGAATAACTCTAAAAACTATAGTAAAAGAACAATAAGAAAACTAAACTGGAACTCTAGAAAATATCTCTTTAATATAAACTATAATAATGGAAGAACGGAAGTATAAAACAAAAATAACACATGTAGAAAACAAAATACCACAATGCCAGACATAAATCCTACCCTATCAGTAATTACATTAAATGTAAACATATTAAATACTCCAAACAGATGGCAGAAATAGGAAGGATGTCTTAAAAAAACATGATCCAAGTATATGCTGTCTACAAGAGACACAATAAATTCAAGGACACAAAACGGGTGACAGAAAAGGATAAAAAAAGATATACTATGCAGGGCCGGCTCCGTGGCTTAGCGGTTAAGTGCGCGCGCTCTGATGCTGGCGGCCCGGGTTTGGATCCCGGGCGCGCCCCGAGGCACCACTTCTCCGTCCAGCGCGAGGCCGAGTCCCACGTACAGCAACTAGAAGGATGTGAACCTATGACATACAACTATCTGCTGGGGCTTTGGGGGGAAAAAAGTGAATAAATAAAATCTTT